ACACACACACACACACACACACACACACACACACACACACACACACACACACACACACACACACATCCAAGTGACCTGTGCAGATGAGAACACATCTCAAACAGATATTCCACAGCTGTGAAGAATTAAGTTAAAATGACTTCATCAGGCATGAATCGATTATTTACAGTATCTTATCTTAATCAGTTTTTTTACAATCCAAACAGCAATTTCTCCTTGTTTTTTTCTGTGCTGCACAACCTACCAGAAGATTAAAACAGAGTTTAAAATGGGAATAATGTGCATCTCAGGAAATGTTTAAAATAACCCACCAAAAACACAAACAAGTTTCAAACAGACAACAACATAAACAAATAAACAAAGGTTGTTGTTGTTGTTGTTGTTAAAAATGTCGTGAAGACCAATAAAAACATTAATAAAACAGGGTGTAGTCACCCATTTTTATGGAAAATATAAATAAAATATAAATGATAACCAACTAAGGCTGGTAGACGTAGGTCAGTCACGTGACTCAAGCCTCCACATGGTGATTTTGTGTTTTGTATACATCGACTGCAGACCTGCATTTCAGATCTACACATCTATAAAATCACTGAAGCACGCTCTTTCAAACTGCCCCATTTAATGTAGTTCATTGTTTTGTTTTACGACTTTGCTGTGAGTGATGTTTAAACAAAAATTAGACATTTATCTGCAGCTGATGAAGCAGAGTGATGCAGACGAGCAGCAACAAATTTACTGTTTTTTATCGACAGAAAGACTCGATTCCTTCAGCTGCTGAAGCCTCAGTTTTTGTGTCACCAGAGGAATATTACGAGAACAATCGTTTCGATGATCTCTGAGCTTTAGTGCTGTCGTATCGCGCAGCTGGTGTGTCGAGGAGCACTTTCAACATCTCTTTGTCCTCTGGTGCCAGGTTTCACCGACCGCGCAGACTTTTAAAAAAAAAAGGAACGTGTTGAGTTAGTTGAGAGTCAGGGTTGCCTCAAGGCCGCACAGCTTGTGTTAGGCTTGCTGTGTGCTTGGCCTGGCTCCTGCTGTCAATCAGAAGTATTTGGTTCTGCCTGTGGTAAGAGATCATCTCGTCGAGGCTGGCGAAAACCTGAGATAACAGAAAAACAGAAAAACTAAACAAGGATTTTCCACTTTTGTTTTTTGCTTTGTTTGGTTTTTGCTCCTCACAATTTCGTTGATTTTTCCCTCCTTTCCGAGGGCGTAGCTGTGAGTGTCTCCAGTGAACCTGATGGGGATGTTGTAGACCTTCTGCTGGTAGAGCATGGCCAGGGTGTACGGCTGCTGGGGGGTCTGGTTGGAGCTGTATCTGATGAGGAAGGCACCGTCCTACAACCCACAGACATTAGAGGCAGATTAGATAAGACTTGGACACCATACAGGGTGCATACAGAAGAAACAAGTTGGTTTATTGCAGAGAAAACAAACTCAACAAACTCTTGCTGTCAAATAAAACATATGGTTGTAAACAACTATTATTAATTATTTGAGCCAGAGTTAATTAGAGTGAAGTCATTTGTGTTCACCTTTCTGACTTTCTGTAGAAGCTCCTCAGCTTTTTTTCTGTTGCAGTCTCCTGCAAACCACTCTTTATCCTGAAACGTGACAACATCTGTTCAAAATGACAACAACAACACTGACAGGAGCCTCCTGATGATAGAGGAGGTCAGATTCTGTTACTTTAAAACTCAAACTCATCTGTAATTTTATTTTTAACTTTTCTCAATGTTTGGTTTGTTCCATCTATCCATCCATCCCATCATCATCTATTCATCCATACACACATCCACCCATCCATCCACCCATCCATCCATCCATCCATCATCCCATCATCATCTATTCATCCATACACACATCCACCCATCCATCCACCCATCCATCCATCCATCCATCATCCCATCATCATCTATTCATCCATACACACATCCACCCATCCATCCACCCATCCATCCATCCATCCATCATCCCATCATCATCTATTCATCCATACACACATCCACCCATCCATCCACCCATCCATCCATCCATCCATCATCCCATCATCATCTATTCATCCATACACACATCCACCCATCCATCCACCCATCCATCCATCCATCCATCATCCCATCATCATCTATTCATCCATACACACATCCACCCATCCATCCACCCATCCATCCATCCATCCATCATCCCATCATCATCTATTCATCCATACACACATCCACCCATCCATCCACCCATCCATCCATCCATCCATCATCCCATCATCATCTATTCATCCATACACACATCCACCCATCCATCCACCCATCCATCCATCCATCCATCATCCCATCATCATCTATTCATCCATACACACATCCACCCATCCATCCACCCATCCATCCATCCATCCATCATCCCATCATCATCTATTCATCCATACACACATCCACCCATC